TTAAAAAAGAGGGATGACATTGTAATCCTCTCAGCCGACAAGGGCAATGCTGTCATCAGGGATAAAATAGAATGTGACAACAAAATTAAAGAATTACTCGACGATGGCAGCTATACAAAAATAAGAAATCCCACCAACAGCCTCGTCACACAAACCAACAAAATAATTTCTGATTCAACCGCATTAATTGATCAAACTAAACAGTTTTCGGTGAAACCCGCTGCCAGGCCACCAAGATTATACGGCTTACCAAAAATACATAAAGTAGATACACCCCTTCGTCCCATCGTCTCTACTATCAACTCCCCCACCTACAAACTGGCTCGTTTTCTGTCTGAAATGCTGCGGCCTTTCACTGGAAAAAACAACTCTGCGGTACAAAATTCTACTCACCTGGTATCGACAATCAAGGGTATTTCCCTGTCCCCAGACGACCTGCTTGTCAGTTTTGATGTAGTTTCTTTATTCACCAAAGTTCCTGTACCTGACACCATCGCAATCATTGAAGACTTGGTTCATCAAGGACTAAACACTGAGGTACCCCCCCCCCCCCCCCTGGTGAGACACTGCTTAACCAACACATACTTCACTTGGCAATGGAACTTTCTACAAACAAACTGGGGGCACCCCAAAGGGCTCCCCCCATCTCCGGTTATTGCTAACATTTTCATGGAGAAATTTGAGGCTGACGCCATCCAGACTGCCACTCTGCGCACATCCTTATGGAAGAGGTACGTGGATGACACTTTTGTCATCTGGCCACATGGCCGGCCTGCTCTAGACCAATTCTTCGACCACATCAATTACATGCATCCATCCATCAGATTTAACATGGAAGTCGAAAAAGATGGCAAGCTACCTTTTTTGGATGTCCTAATAAAAAAGAGACCTCAATGAGCCACTCTGTCTACAGGAAAGCTACCCATACGGATGCTTATCTGAAACCGGATTCCCACCACCATCCACCAAAGAAGAATTCTCTCATCAAGACTCTGCACCATAGAGCCCAATGCATATCCGACCAGGAACACATAGGCAGTGAACTCAAGCACGTACACCAAGCTCTTAAGGGTAATGGTTACTCCGACTATACAATCCGCAAAGCTATCACTCAAACCATGAAGAAGGACCCTCTTGAGGAGCCTTTCAAAACCATCACTTTACCCTACATTGCAGGGATCACAAAAAAGATCTTCAAAATCTTGAATAAACACAAGATCCAGGTCCGTTTCAACACATTACATAAAATCCGTGATCTGGTTCCGTCTGTAAAAGATGTGATTCCGGACATACAGTACCCTGGCGTCTACAAAATAAGTTGCCTTTGTGGTAGTAGTTACATTGGAGAAACCAAACGCCATGTCTCGCACCGCATTCGTGAACACAAAGCAGATCTTAAACACGGTAGGACCAACACCTCGGCCGTGGCAGATCACTGTTATAATTCAGTAGGCTCACATGACATTGACTTCTCCAAGACAGAGGTTCTTTGCAAGCCATCTGGCTACCATGAGAGATTCGTTCATGAGGCTATCCATATACAAACACAGAGACAATTTCAACCGAGAAGATGGATTCTGGTTTAGCAATCATTGGAAGGATTTGATAAACCATTTTGGGTCTTAATTGACTGTTCACGCTTACGGTGGCTTTCAGACAGCATACATAAATTTTTCGTCTTCCCCCTCCTCTTTTCCAAACATAGATGGACTCGTCCATCTAAACAAACTGTCAAATCGCGATCCGTGGTGCTAACGTTTAAAAATAAATCAATACAAACCGCCACTTCTTTCAAATGTTCTTGCCGTTGGTTTTCACACCTGATGATGACTGCTTGTGTTGCGGTCGAAACGTCGTGAGAATTGTATTGTTTTATATATATTGTATTATTTTATTGTTTCCCTTCTACGTGACTTTACCGAAAGAACCAGGAGTATATATACTGTATCTTAACACTTATTTTTCATCACACACGAAATTATGTTTCGCCGTGGCTGCCATCTCACTCTGGGTGAATTCAGGAGAAGTTTAAGAGGATCTGCTCAGGCAACGCGATGAAGAACGGACGGTGGTGGAAGGCGGTCAGCGAGAGGCGCTAAGTCCCCGATTTATTTTGGGAGCATGTTGAAGATGGAATGATGCCCCAAATGAGGCAGTCTCCAGAGGTTCGACGCCAGTCCGGTTTGCTTTTCACTTCAGGACCGTTTCGGGGCCGTCCATAAATGACGTCACGCACCTGGGGGGGGGGGGTGAGAAATTTGACGTCACATCAAAATGCGCCACTTTAAATATAGACAACACGTTCTACTTAATTAAATAGACTTTTTAATAAATGTTTTCTCCTACAACATCAGAGTGCAGCGCCACATTAAATACGCACTACAATGACAATAGTTTAAAGCGATTTGAAGCATGTTTGATTTGGAGGGGGGGGGGGCAGAGCTTTGTGACGTCATAGTTGAGGGGGGTCTGACTTTTTGTGACGCCGTGTGACGAAGGCGGGGGGGGGTCAACAATCGTCCAAAATCGCAGGACATCATTTATGGACGGCCCCTTACCCGCAAATTCAACAATGACATAAAAATGCAACGTACCGGGCGCAGTATTATACCGCATTTTATTTCTATTTGAAGCCACAATTATCATTGACGAGCGTGGTGAGTCCCCTCTGCAGCCACTAGGGGCGCTAGTAAATAACTTCCGCGGGTTACGTAACGCAGCTGTGGGACGTCACGACGCGTTGACGTCATCCGTGCTATCGTGCCGCGGTGCCCGCGATTGTCACGCGTCGCGGTGACGTCACGCCGATGAGGTCGTCGGCACGCCTGTAGGCGGTGACGTCATTTATTGTCCCGCGAAATCAAATTTGAGCAGTGGTGCTCAATTAACAAACTCCTTAAAAGAAAAAAATAATACATATAATAATAGGCGACGTTTTAGACAACAACCCTTATAGCACAAAGAGACAGGCCAGAGAGAAAGGACAATTTCGAGTTCGAAATTGCAATTTTACACGGAGATAACAATTGACAATGTCGTCAGATAGGTTTTTAAACACGCGTATGAATAGTTAATCTAATTGCGACTGAGTAACAGACACATCAACCTTCAATTAAAAAAAAACCTAACACTACTAAAAAACAACCTCAACCGAACGAAAGCTTCAATGCAGAGACGTTCGCTGGCATATTGCATGGTGTTTGTGAATATCTGCGAGTCCAAACTGAGACACAATCCACGTTGTCGGTGAATGTCTGGGGGCAGGTCGATCACCGTGACAGGGATTGAACTTCTGCCTCCCTCCCTCGCTCACGCACTCAAATCGCGTTTGTGTAAGAGGGACGTCGGCGGTGGGAATGGAGGTGGAGAGTGGCTTAGGGGGGGGGGGGGGCATGGATAGGATTCCCGACCAGAAGGAGGGACACGGTGGAAGGAGAGGAGGAAGCAGGCGAGGGGAGCGAGGGGCTATTCGGGATTGAGGGAGGACTGTGGGCAAGTGTGGGCTGGCCGTGAATCAGTGCCGGATGAACCGAGTGCGGGGTCTGTAGCATATATGATGTTATAAAGGGGCCCTAAATTTACACAAAAAAAATATTAAAACACAAATGTTTTACTTGCATAGTAGAGTAATTATATTTTTTTCATTTGCTATACAGCCAGATAATACGACAAATCGCTAACCTTAAACACCCAGTCGTTCATAAAAGTTGAAGGCGGTATAGTACTATAGTAATAGAGCAAGTGCAGAATCACTGAACCGGAATTGATAGCTTGAAAGCGTTTAGCGCGGGGCCCTTGAAAGTGCGGGGCCCGTATGTACTACACACACATGTAGTAGCTACTACACACACATGTAGTAGCTACTACACACACATGTAGTAGCTACTACACACACATGTAGTAGCTACTACACACACATGTAGTAGCTACTACACACACATGTAGTAGCTACTACACACACATGTAGTAGCTACTACACACACATGTAGTAGCTACTACACACACATGTAGTAGCTACTACACACACATGTAGTAGCTACTACACACACATGTAGTAGCTACTACACACACATGTAGTAGCTACTACACACACATGTAGTAGCTACTACACACACATGTAGTAGCTACTACACATATGACGCCGTGTGACGAAGGGGGGGGGTGTAGTAGCTACTATAGTACTGTGATAGCTACTACTATGGTAGCTACTACACATATGAAGTGGGGGTGGGGTGTAGTAGCTACTATAGTACTGTGGTAGCTACTACTATGGTAGCTATGGTAGCTACTACATGTGTAGTAGCTACCATAGTAGTAGCTACCACAGTGTGTAGTAGCTACCATAGTACTATAGTAGCTACTACACCCCACCCCCCTTCGTCACACGGCGTCACAAAAAGTCAGACCCCCCTTAAATATGACGTCACAAAGCTCTGCCCCCCCCCCTCGAAAATAAAACATGCTTCAAATCGCTTTAAACTATTGTCATTGTAGTGCGTATTTAATGTGGCGCTGCACTCTGATGGTGTAGGATAAAACATTTATTTAAAAAAAGTCTATTTAATTAAGTAGAACGTGTGTCTATATTTATTTAAAGTTGCGCATTTTGATGTGACGTCATATTTCTCAACACCCCCCCTCGTCACACATCGTCACAAATGTCTGACCCCCCCCCCAGGTGCGTGACGTCATTTATGGACGGCCCCTTTTACATCTATGACGGCAAAGGTCACCGTAGATATAAAGTTACTGCTCAACCCGAGCCATCGCTTCTTGTTGTTGTTGTTCATCGTTCCGAGTCTCTCCCTCTCGTCTCGCCCCTCGTCACTTGACCAAAACCACAACCCGCCATTCGCCACCACGGCGCGCCTGTGCCAGGCCACGTGCACGTCCAAGTTGGGGTGACGTCATAACCCCACCTCCTCTCCCCCTCCGCTGTCGCCTTGTCGGATGACGTCGCAGGCTCCCCCTCGCCGGCGCGCATGACGTTACCGCGCAATGGCGGATGACGTAATTTCCCGCGAGTGCGTGCTCGCGGTGCGGTGACGTCATCCCGGCTGTTCGAGGAGGCAGCGGCGAGCGAGTGAGCGAGCAGCGGCGGCAAAGGCATCGAAGGGGAAGGAGCGGCATGGCCGACACCGGGGCGCAGCGTTTATTGTTCACCGAGGACCTCGTCTCCACGGGCTCGGTCTCGGGGGACCCCAGATACGGGGTCGTGGGCCTCATCCACGGCGACATGAGCAGCGGCGATAGCTCGGAGACGGACGACGAGGAGAACAAGGCGAAGCCGCTCAAGCGCGGATACGTGCGCGTCCAGTGGTACCCGCTCGGCAGCCGGCAGGACGCGAAGGAGTGCAAGGTGAGGGGGGGGGGGCGAGAGACGGGGGGGGGGGGGCGAGAGACGGGGGGGGGGGGCGAGAGACGGGGGGGGGGGCGAGAGACGGGGGGGGGGGCGAGAGACGGGGGGCGAGAGACGGGGGGGGGGGGAGAGACGGGGGGGGCGAGAGACGGGGGGGGGGGGCGAGAGACGGGGGGGGGCGAGAGACGGGGGGGGGCGAGAGACGTGGGGTGGGGGGAGACGTGGGGTGGGGGGAGACGGGGGGAGACGTGGGGACACGGGGGGAGACGTGGGGTGGGGGGAGACGTGGGGACACGGGGGGAGACGTGGGGTGGGGGGAGACGGGGGGAGACGTGGGGACACCGGGGAGACGTGGGGTGGGGGGACACGGGGGGAGACGTGGGGACACGGGGGGAGACGTGGGGACACGGGGGGAGACGTGGGGACACGGGGGGAGACGTGGGGACACGGGGGGAGACGTGGGGACACGGGGGGAGACGTGGGGACACGGGGGGAGACGTGGGGACACGGGGGGAGACGTGGGGTGGGGGGAGACGTGGGGTGGGGGGAGACGTGGGGTGGGGGGAGACGTGGGGACACGGGGGAGACGTGGGGTGGGGGGAGACGTGGGGTGGGGGGAGACGTGGGGTGGGGGGAGACGTGGGGACACGGGGGAGACGTGGGGACACGGGGGGAGACGTGGGGTGGGGGGACACGGGGGGAGACGTGGGGACACGGGGGGAGACGTGGGGACACGGGGGGAGACGTGGGGACACGGGGGGAGACGTGGGGACACGGGGGGAGACGTGGGGACACGGGGGGAGACGTGGGGACACGGGGGGAGACGTGGGGACACGGGGGGAGACGTGGGGACACGGGGGGAGACGTGGGGACACGGGGGAGACGGGGGGAGACGTGGGGACACGGGGGAGACGTGGGGACACGGGGGAGACGGGGGGAGACGTGGGGACACGGGGGAGACGGGGGGAGACGTGGGGACACGGGGGGAGACGTGGGGACACGGGGGGAGACGTGGGGACACGGGGGGAGACGTGGGGACACGGGGGAGACGTGGGGACACGGGGGAGACGTGGGGTGGGGGGAGACGTGGGGTGGGGGGAGACGTGGGGACACGGGGGGAGACGTGGGGTGGGGGGACACGGGGGGAGACGTGGGGACACGGGGGGAGACGTGGGGACACGGGGGGAGACGTGGGGACACGGGGGGAGACGTGGGGACACGGGGGGAGACGTGGGGACACGGGGGGAGACGTGGGGACACGGGGGGAGACGTGGGGTGGGGGGAGACGTGGGGTGGGGGGAGACGTGGGGTGGGGGGAGACGGGGGGTGGGGGGAGACGTGGGGACACGGGGGAGACGTGGGGACACGGGGGGAGACGTGGGGACACGGGGGAGACGTGGGGACACGGGGGAGACGGGGGGAGACGTGGGGAGACGTGGGGACACGGGGGGAGACGTGGGGACACGGGGGAGACCATGTGGGCAGCAGGAGGAGACCGTGGGGGTTTCGGGGACACGGTGGAGACACGGGGAAGGCAAGGGGATGTGGGGGTGGGAATGGGGGGGGGTGCGAGAGGAACGTGGAGACACGCGGCGAGAGGCGCGATCCTGTTGGTGGTGTGGGAGGGCCATGCTGAGGGGCATGGGGGACTCGCCGGGACTTGGGTCAGGGGGGCATTACGGGGGGGGGGCATTACGGGGGGGGCATTACGGGGGCCCGGGATGAGAGAGATGTGGGGAGACGCACGAGGGTGTGTAGGGGGGGGGGCAGACGGCGAGGCACGGGGAAGCGTGCGGAGCCGCGTGGGGGGAGCCGCGTGGGGAGAGCCGCGGGGAGGGAGACGAGGCTAGGCCGAGGAGCCTGCGGGGAGTCCAGGCCGAGGCGAAGGGCTGGTATCCGTATCGTGGCGCCGGGGTCGAGTGGCTTAGCGGTGGCGGGCGGGCGGGCGCTGTTGGCGCTGGGAGCCCGCGGGGAGTATCCGCGCTTGGGAGAGGAGAGCCGTGGGGGGGGGGGGGTCGTTGAGCCCGGCACAGAAGCCGCGGAGGAGAGGTCCAGCGCGGCCCAGGCCCTGAGGCCCCCCCGCCCCGCCGTGTTGTGCCGGGCGAGATGCCGAGGAGCTCCCGGACAACCTGCGGACACGCAGCGCCTGCTGCGGATGGATTGACAGTGATCATTCCATTGTGTTGTTGTTTCTCGCTTCGTCAGGCGCCACACAATTGTAATTGCCATTGACGTTTGTCTGGTCGAGGACCACCCCCCCCCACACACTTACTCGATGACAGGGGAGCGAGGCTGCGTCCAACCCTCCCCCGACCATTCTCGATCCACTGCTGGGTGTCGACAACGGCCAGCACATCGTGCATGGAGACTGCATGGACACACAAACGTGTCACGGACGTTGACAGCGGCCGGCCCCCGCGTTGGTCGTGGGAATTGTTTGACCATACTTCACCACGCTGGTCTCCGGTCTGTGTGGACGGGTCAAGCGGCGATACCCAGGGGGGTGGTCCAGGTATCGGCGATACCCAGGGGGGTGGTTCAGGTATCGGCGATACCCAGGGGGGTAGTTAAGGTATCGGCGATACCCAGGGGGGTGGTCCAGGTATCGCTCGCCATGGCCGGGGATTCGAACTGGGGTGGTCTGAGTTCGGAGTTTAGTGCGGCCACCCACTGCAACACCGCTCCGCCCTCACTGAATTGTCAGGGCATGATTCCGTCAACTCGCAACGTGTGCATTTTTAAGGTGACCCGGATCACCAAACTCAATACAAAAGTATAAATGCATAAGAATAGGTTGAACCTTTTTTTGGAAATTCAATAGGAGTTGTGTTAGGATGTTCAAACACCAAATGGAAACCTTTTGCAAGGAATAAAGTACTGCATTAAGCATACTTACTTATTATGGTGAACATGGTAACATAATCTGATAATATATGGGCAAAGTCTTCGAAACTGATTGGCCTACACCAGTGTCACACCAGAGAACAACGCCAAAGGCGAACAGTATAGCAATACACGTACACTGCAATACAACAAAAGTATAGCCATACACGTACACAAATTACATACCAGTTTAAATCAAAACAAGGTACTGTACTGTATACAGTACGTTAAAATATTGGTGCATGTTTATGCACTTTCATTTCTAATTCATGATTCAAACGCCCGCTAATGGAATTTTCTGAAACATCCCCAATAGTTGGTCACTCTGAACGTGTCCCGGGTTCTCCGTGAAGCTTAATCGTTGTCATTATAACGCCATTATTCTGTGTCAATTGTGAATTCATCCGGGGCTTTGTGCGGCCAAGGATTGCGCCTAACCCAGGCCTATCAAACGGCCTGGGTTAGGTGAAACCTAATAAATATTCTTGTATCTTTGGGTCTTGAGGTTGGGGCAATTCCTCCGTGGCTTCGAAGTCGGAGTGAGTTTTGGCCCCTCCTGAGATTCTGGATTTGAATCCAGGCAGCTGCCTGTGATGATGAGTGGTGATTGTTACATCACCCTCATGGGAAAGTCGGTGCCCCCCTTTGTGGACCGTAGCTCACTGAGACGTATCTCAGTGGTAGGTCTGTGATATCCACTTTCACGGGCGGTTCTGCTCTGCGAATTGATTTTTCACACCGTGACTTGCCTCCGAGAGCACAATCAGAATAAAATCTAGGGGGTGGAAATGAAGGCACGTTAAATATTCATTTCTGAAGTCACACGACACCGAGTCTCCACACACCATATCTCACTGGTAGGTAGAGATGAGTTTAACTGAGAGATGTTGTTAGAAGAGAGGTGTTGGGGCATGATAGGTGGTGTGATTGGAGAGGTGATTGGAGAGGTGTTGTGGTTAGATAAGTGTTGGGTCCAATTAGGTTTAGTTTTTTTAAGAGTTATTATGATTATAGAGGTCTTATGGCTAGAGATGTGTTGTGGTTAGACAGATGTGGTGAGAGAGGTGTTGGGGCAAGATGATAGGTGGTGTGGTCGGAGAGGTGTTGTGGTTAGACGTGGTGGCAGAGGTGTTGTGGTAAGAGAGGTGTTGTGGTTAGACAGATGTGGTAAGAGGTGTTGTGGTAAGAGAGGTGTTGTGGTTAGAGAGGTGTTGTGTTAGACGTGGTGACAGAGGTGTTGTGGTAAGAGAGGTGTTGTGGTAAGAGAGGTGTTGTGGTTAGACGTGGTGTTGTGGTAAGAGAGGTGTTGTGGTTAGACGTGGTGACAGAGGTGTTGTGGTAAGAGAGGTCTTGTGGTTAGAGAGGTGTTGTGGTGAGAGAGGTGTTGTGGTTAGAGAGGTGTTGTGGTTAGAGAGGTGTTGTGGTTAGAGAGGTGTTGTGGTAAGAGAGGTGTTGTGGTGAGAGAGGTCTTGTGGTGAGAGAGGTGTTGTGGTGAGAGAGGTGTTGTGGTTAGACGTGGTTCGAGAGGTGTTGTGGTGAGAGAGGTGTTGTGGTAAGAGAGGTGTTGTGGTGAGAGAGCTGTTGTGGTAAGAGAGGTGTTGTGGTTAGACGTGGTGACAAAGATGCTGTGGTTCGAGAGGTGTTGTGTTAAGAGAGGTGTTGTGGTTAGAGAGGTGTTGTGGTTAGAGAGGTGTTGTGGTTAGAGAGGTGTTGTGGTTAGAGAGGCGTTGTGGTTAGACGTGGTGACAGAGGTGTTGTGGTTAGAGAGGTGTTGTGGTTAGAGTAGTAGTGTTGTGGTTAGAGTAGTAGTGTTGTGGTGAGGCGGTGTTTGTGCCGAGCTGATCGGTGTGGTGTGTTCTCGTGAACCGGCGGCTAGCAATGGATGGCTCCAACCATCTTCCCACGGCACCTTCACTTACGCACTGCCATGCCTTCACGCCGGTTATGTAATCACAGTGGCTGCCGATACCAAATTGCACGTGTCGTTTTTTGCAAATCGACAGCAGCGTAATTTGTATCTTCTACTTCTTTCTTCAATGACACCAGGCACTGCACCATCTCGCAGCCCTGGTGTATGGTGACGTTAAATGTGTTGTACGAGAGTATTGTGTTTACGCAGTGCTTGCTCGTGCAAACAGCACCGTCACAGTAATATGCAACGCATTTTTTTCTCTCTCTCCCATTTTGCTGCTTTGCAGCAAGTTGATGCCAGCGAACGTGAACACCGCTGTTTTACACTTATTGTTTTCAGATTGCTATACAGTGTTAAAAATACAGGTTGCTTTACAAGGGCACAAGCCCTTTGGCAGTCCCACTGCGGGGTGTGCGTACGTGCACTGAACTTCTTTAGCACCCTACGTGGCCAACGGCGCCCATCGGAGGTGGATGCCTTTCCACGCGGTGCCGTGTCGTCGGAGTGATTTGACCACGTTTTACCAAAACTGCTCGGGGTGGTTTGGTATACGGTGAGGGAGAGATGCCTCATATGGCTTCCTGCACCGCCGATGTAGCCCGGTTGGCCACGTACTGTGCAAAAGAAGTTCAACATGCTTACATATCACGCTCGCCTCTGATGTGATGTAAGCCGTCGTCAGATAGGCCTGTCATGACAGTCGCCCTCTCCCTGTCTAACCCCCCTGCCCCACAAATTGATTAATGATTAGTATCTGCATCAATTCGAGTTTGTGTAGTTAGGGCCGTCTAGGTTTTTTGTGGTTTAATTTTTTTGCCGTATCCCTCACCATTGAGCCAAAATAAAATGTTTGCATGCTACTTGCATGCCGTTTGCGTGAGTTGTAAGTAATCGATTCTTGCATCATTTGACGCGTGCATCGTGAGGGTAATAATCAATGTTCATGGATGCATTGTTGCATGGCTGATGCATGATGGTATAATTAGTAATCTGTGCTCGTGTCCAAACCATAATATACTGCGCCAGCATTGAACCATTGTGGCATTTGTTCAGTTAATTTTATCGTCAAGTACTTTATATGTAGCAGCACTTTATGGTTTTAAGGTTTTCTTATCTAATGACCATCCATTATGAACCATTATTATCCACTGCTAGATGAAGGCATCCCCTAACCGTCGCCATTTCTCAGCTCCTTACAATACAGAAATCCGTGTAGCCACTGCATATAAACGGATGTCATTGCTCAATCTGTGTACTGGACAATCCTTTTTTCCGTGTTTACTCCTTCGGCTGCCTCCATATGTCTGACCACCACGAGCCACCATCCCCTTCTAACCGTGACGTGTCCTGCCGAAAGGCCACTTCCGTCTCTCGACGCCTTACTGGTGCATGTATGCATCTCTCCGTGCCTCCTTCGGCACTTGTGAAATTTGGATCGGTGAAATAAAGGCATACACTTTCAATGGAGAAAACATCAACCGCATCTGAGTGTCCTTGCTGCAAAGGTCATCATAATTTCCAGCGTTGTAAGATAAAGTTACACTTATCTTGGCCATTTAAATCTCCCACATCCTAAAATGTTTTCTGAAAATATTTCACTACACCTTCTCTTTCTCCTGTGAAGAAGGCGTGCTTGCAGACACATTCGCTTATGTGTGTTTTTATTTCATCCATAAGCGAAGTGTTTTCTAACAATGTTTTATTTAGCAAATTGACTGGTGATCTTACGGTGCGTGAACACCGACTTGTCTTTCAGCTGAAGCTCGTAGACCGATCTCTGATGCCGAGAGACATCGTCAGACGCGGTGGAAATCAGTTGGTAAGTGCCTCGCACGGCTCCACGCAACACTGCAGATGATGCATTGAATGTACAACAACATTCCACTTGTGCGGTTGGGTGAATTGTTACGTGGGTGATTATGAACTTATCGATACGAGGGTTGCCACCTCTAAATAGAAGATGATCTGGGAAACCTAGTACAGGTGGCAATTGTTAATTCATACATTCACTACACATGCATAGAAATGTGCATATGCCAGATTCGATTACACTGCAGGAATCGATTATCACGAGAGACTCTCCTCTCCGTTGTCACCCGCTGAATTTGTTGAAGCAAATTATTCGATTGTACTGCATTTGGCAGCAGTGAAGAAGCACAAATATCAAAAAGCTCAACACATTGTCAATACCACTGTGACCATAAAAGAAGATGTGTGATGGGTGATGCTTTGGCAAGGGGGCTCTTTTTCATAGCACACATAAATAGGGCGAGAGAGTGAATGCGATTTGGATGCTGCACTATACATCATGACAGCATGATATGAAATAAAATGTGGAAATGTTTTCTGATGAACAGTTTTAAATTGGCATCTGAACTGTTCGTGCGTTTAGTAGATATTTAGCAACAGGCACACCCTTTAATGTAAATTTTTTTACTACTTTTATGTTGCTGGCACATTTTTGGTAACCCTGTTGCAGTGTGGTCTCTTATTTATCAACTGAACGCAAAATCATTAAGCATTATCTGCTTAGCGACTCATCATTCTTGGGCTCAGTTATCATTTCGGTCGGATCAACGAGGCTGTCGAGACAGATCACTGTTATCACTGTTATAATTCAGTAGGATCACATGACATTGACTTCTCCAAGACAGAGGTTCTCTGCAAGCCATCTGGCTACCATGAGAGATTCGTTCATGAGGCTGTCCACATATACAAACACAAAGACAATTTCAACCGAGAAGATGGATTCTGGATTAGCAATCATTGGAAGGATTTGATAAACCATTTCGGGTCTTAATTGATTGTTCACGCTTATGGTGGCTTTCAGACCGCATCCATTATTTTCGTCTCCCCCCTGCTCTTTTCCGAACATAGATGGACTCGTCCATTTGAACAAACTGCCAAATCGCTCTCCGTGGTGCTAACGTTAAAAAAAAACGCCACTTTTTTCAAATTTTCTTGCTGTGGTTTTCACACCTGATGATGATTGCTTGTGTTGCAGTCGAAACATCGTGATAATTTTATTGTTTTATATTTGTATTATTTTATCGTTTCCCTTCAACGTGACTTTACCGAAAGAACCAAGAATATAATCTAAAGGCATGTTTCCACATCAGCACTGGGAAGATAAAGGCGTCGTGGCTGTTGGTGCTGGCCACGTCACCCACCAATGTGCTGTTTTGGCCCTGAATAGGCGCTTGCCCAACCCTTCTATGTAGGCTATACGGTTGATGTGTGCCATTTGTGTGTGCTGCAGGAGGCTCAGTCTGGAACCGTGCTGGATGTCAAAGTCTACTGCACTGTTGTGCTGCTCGGATCTGGAGAAATGATCTACCCCGTGAACACCAGAGATCTCACCTACTTCACGGTGGGTGCGGCCCGTGGCAACACCGAACATGAATTTTGTCGCTTAGTCAATGGAATGTGTTCTCGTCGTCCAGCGGAAGTGTGCCAGAATGAGTGACTCCTGTATATATCTGTCGAGTTAACTGGCTCGCCTGGTATACCGGAGGTCGTGTGTTCGACACCGACCCTCTGTCATCTGTAGATTTGGAGTTTCCATGTTCTCCGGGTCTTCTGGTTTTTCCCCTCCACATTTAGAAATATGCATTTAGAGTATTTGGCTGCTATACATTTCCACATTATAAGCCACTTCTTTGAGCTATCATGTGTGGCCAGGTCGCTTATGGAAAAAAGCTGTATAGCCCTTTGGTCCTTGGCCGGTAAAATAAAAATAGTGAAATAAATTGTAAAGGCATTGCGACTGATCTCAGCTTGTTACCTGTATAAAAGACACCTGTCCAGAAGCAATCAATAAATCAGATTCCAAACTCTCCACCATGGCCAAGACCAAAGAGCTCTCCAAGGATGTCAGGGACAAGATTGTAGACCTACACAAGGCTGGAATGGGCTACAAGACCATTGCCAATCAATTTATAACATTTTCGACATGCGTTTTTCTGGATTTTTTTGTTGTTGTTCTGTCTCTCACTGTTCAAATAAACCTACCATTAAAATTATAGACTGATCATTTCTTTGTCAGTGGGCAAACGTACAAAATCAGCAGGGGATCAAATACTTTTTTCCTTCACTGTACGTAGGACCCATATTTTGAATGCTGCTTGAAGCGCATTGAATATTTCCTATTGTGATAGCTGTACACCCCGTACTCACAATTTATTTAATTGTATACCTACGTGACTTTACCGAAATAAGAGTATGGATTCCTGCAGTCACGAAAGCTTCAAATCAAGGTTGTGCATCCCATGTTTGCCGCTTCTCACGAGCTTCATCGGTATTCCTCAGCCGTATGCGTATGGGGACTACGTGGAGATGGACTGCTGGCTGGGACGTGTGCTTGATGTCAAGTCACAGTTGATCATCAGACTGTCGAATGGCGCCAGGTGAGACTCAACGCCAACACTGTACACCTCACCCCCCGATCAACTTCGTTACCTTCACGCACGTCATAATAATTTAGCCTCCACCCCGCCTGCCCCCTCATAATTTTCAATGAATTGTAACGATTGTGACGTTTTGATGTCGTTGAAGAATGACTCATTGTTGTGCTCTTCTTTCTAGTCGTGATTGATTTGCCTGCCTTGTTTGTACTGTCTTGTGGTGCCCATCTGTACTGTGTGTGATTCGTCTTTGATATATTTTTCTGGGTCAGATCCCATAAATAAAATTTCGTGTCGTGAACCCTCCGCCCAATCCTGGCTTACTGCCTGACGATGCAGGTTGTAACTATCAGCGGAACGTCGTACCCATTTAAATGTTGAGGTTTGACCCAAAAAATGGATTACAATTCATAATATTGGTCGCAAAAGCCTACGTGTTAAATGTCCGTCCTGTTTGTACCGTCTCATCGGTACTGTTTGTCTCGTCTGAAATCTGTCTTTAATGTACCATCTTGTTGCCCCTGGTTAAGCTTGGGGTTTTTTTCCGACAATTCCAGTTTACTTCCACACAGAGCCAAACGCTTATTCATGGAATTGGCCAAACATCCTCATCCAGCACCCTCCTGCAAAAATGCTTATGGACTCAGTCTTGCTCTCCTGGATATAGCACACGTGTGTGTGTGTGTGTGTATAGCAAGTTACTGACGTGTATGGTTCCATGAGGCAGCGCATGTACGTATGTACGTTGAAGTTCCTTTCGCACAGTATGTAGCCAAACCGTGATAATCGGCGGTACGGGCTGTGCACTGAGATAACCATTCCCTCACCTCTGGCCACCCAGCAGTGTGGATGGGTAACCACAGTCGATTGGGCAGTTCTCGTGCAGTGGGGTAAAGTGTGGGTACTCCCACCTCCTTTAAGACGTTTGACCAGCATGGAAGAATTGGCCAAATACGGCAGCAGTGTCATGAGCAAGTAATTGCAAGGCTGCACATCTTAATTTTTGTTAGTTCAACCAAATTGGTTGTTAATGCCTCATGGTCACGTTGCGGTTTATTTATAATCCTCATCTATGAATAAGTCGCCTAGATTCAGGGGGCTGGTGTCACCCGTGCAGGTGCCGGTGTGAACCCAGTCTCCTCATTACAGTCCCCTTACTACAATCTATCATACTTGACCGTAGCCGTGACAGGCCACCGGGGTAGAGCAGAGTTCGATGATGCCTCGTGTGGCACAGAGACCTGGGAGCCCATTGCGCTGATAAGCGTGCAAATCCTTTAATGCATTGCTCGCACAATGTTATTGTGTATTTGCTATTGTAGCCGCCTTCACCTACCCACTGTGACCAGCGCGGTGAATTATTGTCCACGACCCACATGGCATGGGGGAGGCCCCGCTGCCAGCAGTGGATTGACAGAGGCTGTCCATGTACAATGTTTGTTAACAGTGGTATTGTAGTTCTAATTTCCCCCTTCCCCCCCGCCGCCCCTCGTAGTTTGGTGGCAGCGATTGGGCGTGGAGTGGCCAATCACTGGTCGAGCTGCCTGTAGCTACACATCAACCGCAGTGGCGGGCACGGTTACATTGGGAGTCTGGGAGAAGCCTGTAAACAGTGGTGGTGGTGGTGGCAGCAGAGGGAATGTGCGGGCTGGCGCCTAGTGATGTATTGTATGGGAGGAGCAGTTATAAATAATAAACGATGGTTATGATGATGAGTGTGTACTTAAGCCTAGGCAGGTAGCCCCCTCTGCCCAACTCAACCCTAACCTACCAGCCAGGCCACTGCCCCTCCACCCCACTAAAACAGAAAGGACTGCGTTCTAAACAATTGTGAGGTCCGAGGAATGGCAAAGACTGGAGAGGAGTTAATGGGTAGTTTAATTGGAAGATATTTGTCTAATTTCTGTTACGCCATTCTGCATACGAGCCTGCAGAAAGACCTCGGCAAAGATATGCGCAACTAGACCACAAAAGGGTGGCACATGACAGCCAATGGAATGATAACCTCACGGAGGAGCAGAGTGGTCTCAAGGTAAAAGAAATGCATCATCAGAGCAGAGGACAAGAAAGCGGGGATCCAAGGCAGCCACCCAAGCTCTCGCAAAGAGGTCGCACGATTGATTAATTGATTTGAAAGGGTTTCACGAGAATTACTTTGTCAAGTCATCCTTTGCAAGGCCTTCTGCGCCGAGTTGGCCTGGTGGCTCCGATGATACCGTTGGAGCACTGAGCTTAAATCCTGAGTGTGAATCGGAGTTTTCGGCCACTGGTGATTAAACTGGGCTGTTAAGTTTCATGAGATGATGCTCTCAGGCCTGGTTACCAATTATTTCACAACATTTATCACAAAGTGTTTTTCACTGAATTGTATTTCTTTAAACTTTTTGATTAACTTTGATATGGGGTAGGGGGGGGAAATATTTACAGAATGTCAAAGTGTGTTTGCTGCACCTTCTTCATACTGGATATTACATAATTTCTTAACTTTTAAATGTTGAAATTTACTTTTCAGTCGATTACCAAGTTACTCATGGTCCATAGCCAGGAGTAGCATGTGCTCATAATGCCGGAGAGTGTGTTGATGTGATTAGTATTAGTAGGTGTGTTGATGTGGTTGGTATTAGTAGTTGTGTTGATGTGATTGGTATTAGTAGTTGTGTTGATGTGATTGGTATTCTACTGTTGTAGGTGTGCCATGAGCGTGGACGACGCCTGCAAACTTCAAGACTTGAATCCCCACCCAAGTGACTCGGTAAAGCTTTACCAATATTCACACGTGATATTTGTTTTTAAATGTATTGCCATTGCACCGCAAGTTAATATGACCTTGCTTTTTAATACCCGGTGTCAGTCTTGAAAGTCTATCTAAAAGTTAAACATTAAATGCTTAGATTTCCACCCGGCAAATCATTCTCTATGTCGCAGATTTTGTCAGGATTTCAGAATCCAAGCAGTTTTAAGCCTCAATAACAATTGGATGGATGGCTGCATGGGAATGCCAGGTATTGTAGGGTTTATTCAGTTCGGCAGCCAGGTACAATGGATTATTTTACCCATCTGTAGCGGAGCTTTGAGTATTACCCGCTTGTTTTCTTGGGTTTTTCTGGGTGTACCCTGCTTACCTCACACGTGTCAAGCACTCGCAAATGGAATTGGTCAAATGCGTAACCTTTCTGAAAAGTAGTCTGAAGACTAAGACTCTTCTGAGTAAACAAAGACCATTATGATGATTGTTATTATTTTATCAACACCCTCAAATGTACACCAACGCTGTGTGCAAAAAATCCCAATGGGATGCAAGTCAAACAACAACAACAACCACAAGAAAACTTAGATTAAGGCCATCAGTCTAACTCCGTACTACAATAAAACACACATGTCCAAACCAAAAAAACTTTTCGAAATCACCAAAAAATAAAGCCATAATTGCAACGTAACAGTGATCATAGGGACTGTGACCGAATTTATATTGACAGTGTTCCTAAATCCTCATTGTTTCCCGAGCGCACGGCATGAACCGGCGGAAACCACACACTCTGCTCTTTTGTTGCCACTGCGTGCCGTTTCGTTGTGTGCGCGTTGTTCAGGGAGTGTTTTTCAGCGAGCACTCGGGGTTCTACCCCAGCCAGTTGCTCATTGGGCCATCCAAGTCCTTTGCGAACGTGCAATGGTTGTCTGGTGTGAAGCCAGTTATCCGAAAGAAAAGCAACTTTAAAGCCCTGGTGGAGAAGGTAAGAGCTGACCTAACATCCTTCACTAATTATCACATCGTTCAACATGCCGGCAGCCTTGATTTGAAGCTTTCGTGACTGCAGGAATCCATACTCTTTGGTTCTTTCGGTAAAATCACGTAGGTAGAAATAAAATAAAACAAATCACGACGTTTCGATCGCAACACAAGCGGTCGTCATCAGGCAAAGGAGTCAGCCTCTAAAGGCAAACTGTTTATAAAGGTTTGGGGATGAGCGTAGCCCAAGTGTATCAACAACACCAGTAGCACGGGCGGTGCACGAGTACCAATGCAGCAACAATGCCAATGCAGCAGCAATGCCAATGAAGCAACAATGCCAATGAAGCAACAATGCCAATGCAGCAACAGTGCCAAACGCTGGGGATGTGGGGGGAAATTAACTAGCAAAAACTAGTACCCGGCAGATATGATGTTTATCAAGCCATCCAGATGTATAAACATAGACATAACTTCAGCCGAGAAGATGGATACAAATTGAGCAATCATTGGAATGATGTTATTAACCAGGTAAAACCTTAACTGTTTATGGTTGTTCCATCATATCTGCCGGGTACTCGTCTATTTTTCCTAGTTAATTCCCCCCTGCATCCCCAGAGTTTGGCATTGTTGCTGAAATGGGGTCGGTGGAATCTTAGCGCAGCGTGCGAACAGCCGCATGACGATGGTCCAACTTAGGTTATACTGTACACTGTTGGCAGGAATCTAAGAAGTCTGTTTATTTTTTTTTTACGGTGGAACATATTTCAGTAAAAATTCAAGCGTGAATGTACGTCGTTGTCTCCCCTTGCAGGTGGAAGTAGCCACAATGGAAGTGCGGTGGATCACCATGGGTTACTCTTCTGGGAAAGCGTTCCCTTCCATAGACCCTCCGAGTGCAATCGTTACGCAAGAGCTCCTTCCAAGGTACCATCGGCATTATGCATATTGATACACGCAGCCAAGTGTGAGGATGGTTCATGCCTTTCATTTTTGTCCCCGGTCAACTGTCATCGACACACAAACCTAATAATATTTAAGAAGTGAAGAAGACCCTGCCAGTTTATTTATTTTGTTATTCATATTCAACACAGCGACGATGATGATGCTGATGATTATTTTTAGTTCTGCATTGTATAAATTTCTGTCGGACTAGGACTCCATGTCGAAGAGAGGGTCCCTTGCCTGTAAGATGGGCAGTTCAGTAGCATTGCTTTAAGAAATCTGGACTGCTGATGAGACACTGCATATCTTAGCAGGGATTCATATTCTTTGGGTCTTTCGGTAAAGCCACGTAGATAGAAAAATAATATTATTTTATATGTGTAAGAAATGTTTTTTTTATCTGGGAGAGATGGATATGTGAAGGAGATGCTCGCTTGTTTATTTTGTGAGTAATATTTAATAGGAGTACCATATTCTCCAGATTTGGAGAGGCACATTTCCCACGTGTATGTTTTATCACAAGTTGGCGGCGCAAGTTATAATCGTGCAGGTGTGTGTGTGTGTGAGACCAGATTAGCGTCGCTTTGTTGACACGTGGTACAAGTTTTGTATGCATCTTACTTTTCAGAATATGTTAATGTATTTTATATATATTTTTCATCAAAGAAAGCTCCACTGCGTCTATACATTTTTAGTAAGGTCTTGGATTTGTTATGTAGATGACAATTTTTTTTTATACATATTTGATTTATTACTTAAGTATTACTCACAATGAACCCAGGTTAACCATCATGCAATTTGTACAGTTTTGCTATACTGCTTTTAGCAGAATGCAATGTCGCAGTTTTTATTTCTGTGACAAAACTGCTGATTGGGAGTCAACGCTGATCATAGAACTTACCTGATTCGTAAAAAAAAAGATGCAAAACATTGGTCCAGAAGTCTCACAAACAGACAGACATGAATGTCTTTCATTATTTTGTGGGAGTGATTCATACCCATGTCTGTTTTTTCTGACCATCGTCGGGTGACTACGGGGTGTCCCACTTATCCTTCGCTGCAAATGCTCCGTTTCTCCAGAATTCAGAGATTAAACTTCTACGACCACGCACGAATGATGATGGGGGAGCGCGTGATGTACAACATCAGCCCCAGCGCCAAAATCTCGCACGGCAAACCAGACAAGGACTTCTTTGATTGGAACCCGCCTTTGAATGAAAATGTTGGCGATGACAAGGTAGGTGTCGCGATGGAACGTCGTGAACACGCAAATAGCGCGCATTGTGATCGTCGGAGGGTGCGTCAAACGTTACAGTTGCTTGGCGTGCTTTTGTGCTTTTCTCACTCTCGATCGTGCTAGCCAGGCTCAAAAATCCTGCTTATCTTCTGAGATGTGACCACATTGTGGGGGCATTTCTGTTCGTTTGGTTGTAACGCGAGTGTGGAGCACAGCGTACGTTGCTGCGGTTGCACGTGGCATCACTGTGTAGTTTACAGAAGCGGGCAGTTGTGAATTAATATCGTCGTGTGTTGTTGCAGAGCGAAGAGCTGCATGTGGTGTGGATGTCTCCCAGCAACTCGACGAGCCGACTGGCTGGAGACTTGGCTGCCGCGGACGATGTGAACGGTGAAGGGAAAGAGTCCACGGTGGAAAAAAACGATCAAAATAGCGAAGATATTGCAGACGAGCAGCGAGGGGCCGTTGGGGAACATCGGGTCGCGCTTGGCGGCAGGAGTTTAGTTTGGGAGAACCACACCCTGAGCATCTCCAGTGACTCGGTGACGATTAGCTGCACACGTTTCTGCCACAGTTTCTCCGTTGACCACTTCGTGGAGCAGCCAGGCGGGCGGGCGCTGCTCGCCTACCTGCGCGGGAAGGAGGAGGAAGACGAGCAGCTGCCGGCGTTGCTCCAGAGCTTCGTCAAGGAATACTTAAAAAGCAGAGTGGCGGGCGACGAGAATCACATCGTCGTGCGCGAAGCCGCGCGCAGCGACGGCGCGGTGGTGAACGACGACGGTAAGAGGCAGGGAGAGAGCGACGGCATGTTCAAACCCGTCTCCGGCACCAAGAGGGCCAAGGTGTCCCTGCCTGGACGCACGTCGGAGCCGGAGGACGGCGAAGCGGATTGGACGGACGAAAGCGACGAGACCAGTTCGGTCTCCTCCATGAGTTCCACGGCGTCCTCCCAGGGCGGGCCGCCCAGTAGAAGGAAGCAGCCGCTTCCGCTCAACGTGAAGAAGCTCAAGAAGAAGATGAAGCAGAAGCGCAAGCCCAAGGTCACCCGTGAAATCCGTTGTGGTGACAGGTGAGCGCGCGCTCTCCGGCGGAAGTGTGTGTCGCTTGAGCCAGGGGAGGTGCCCGCATCCCATGTAAATAATTTGTTTGGTTCGGTCGCCACTTGAACACCGTGAAAAAATCGATTCCTTTTTAAAGGGCTGCCCAGGGCAATGCGTTGTCTGCTCATCGTTTTTAAGTTCCCATCAGTAAATCCATTTTACGGAGCCTTATGGGCTGTCTTTTCGTGACCCTCACGTGGCATGTAACTATCGTATAGTGGCAGCACATGGACTTCACCCGCTTGCCGCCCCCCCATCGTTGACTCTCCCGCTCCCGTGGCTGAACACGGCAGGCCCAGACACAATAGCCCAGTGTTAAGGCAGTTGATGCTGGCAGTCGTTGGCATCGATAGTTGCTCAGACCATTTTATATGTGAAAAAAAAGCCTGTCAGTTTCTCACGGTCCTGCAATGCCATAATGCATGGACGCCGCAGTGGTGAGATGTTTTCTGCTTGGCATGGTACGCAGGAGATTGTGTTTTCGATCCCGTCCCTGACACCTGTATATTTGGAGTTTGCATGTTCTCCCCGTGGTCGCGTGGATTTTTGTCCGGGTCCTCTGGTTTTTTCCTTTACAATTAAAAACATCGCGCGTTTAGGATTATTTGGCTGCTATAAATTTTCACATGATAAGCCACATTGTTGAGCTATCATTTGTGATAGCCAGTTCGCTTATGAAAAAGAGTTACGTAGCTCAGTGGGCCTTACCTGCCAAAATACAATTAGTTGATCTTTTTTTTATTGTTTCCATCACACTCCCGCACACGAGCCAATGCCATCGCTCCATCTCTGTGGCGGTCATCTTCTTGGACGTGCTCTCTCCTTTCCTTTGGCTGCCACTACTCCATCACGGTGCTTCTTTCTCCGCCATCGTACCTTCCCGTTCACAGCACGCGTTCTATTCTCGCCACGTCAATGTGAAGATGCTTCTGATTTGTGTTTGTTCCCTGACTATCTCAGTGTAATTCACAACGTGAGGGCGAAAAAAACCCGTTTTGAATAACCTATCTACGTGACTGTACCGAAAGACCCAAAGAATATGCGACTGCTCTTGTACTAATACCACCCACGTATTTTTACTGGAGTAATGGAGGGTAAGAGTGGCAATACAAATCACGGGTTATGCACACATGTAAATGTGTTTTTTATTACGTGGAATGGTGGTGACGATGATCTAGACCGGCAGTGTTGTTTTCATTGTTTCTTAACGTAATTGGTCACTTGCCGGTGTGTTTGTGGTCACGTGACTACCGAGTCACAGACAGTGAGGAGCAGCAGCTTGTATAACTAGAGACCCGCTTACACACGGTTATTCTGCATCCCCGGAAAATCCATCCACGGATAATTGGGAATTGGCTGCTTAAGTGAGTTTTTTCTATTGCTGCTGTAAGTGTCGTCTCCCTCTTGCATGTTCCAGGCTGGCAGTGGAAGTGGTTCACACCAAGACCTACGCAGACGTGATGTGGCAGAACGGGCAAGTGGAGGTGAACATCCGATCCAATGACTTGATTCCTGTGCAACACATGGATGAAAATGAATTCTGGCCTGGGACATTTGTTATGGACAAACGAGGTGAGGGTCGATCATGAACGGACATCCGATGTCGCATTCGCAGCACGTCCGTCGAATATAGTGGGACGGTGGTGGGTGTGCACGCCCGAATTGCAGCGCTGTGGAAATAAGGGTTGGTGGATCGCACAAATGTTGCGAAGCTCCCTCCCTTGTAGGGGGCGACGAGGTGCCATACCCTGGCATGCCAGAAGTGTGTGGTACATCAAAGTGTGTGGACTAATCTTTCCATCGGTCCCTTCCCCCTTTTGCACTTGTGAGTAATTTCCGGGTGCTTCGGTTTTCCTCCCACCTATATATTAACATGCATTTATTGGCTGAAAACATCTTTATATACAGTGAGGGGAAAAAGTATTTGATCCCCTGCTGATTTTGTACGTTTGCCCACTGACAAAGAAATGATCAGTCTATAATTTTAATGGTAGGTTTATTTGAACAGTGAGAGACAGAATAACAACAAAATCCAGAAAAACGCATGTCAAAAATGTTATAAATTGATTTGCATTTTAATGAGGGAAATACGTATTTGACTCCTCTGCAAAACATGACTTAGTAATTGGTGGCAAAACCCTTGTTGGCAATCACAGATGTCAGACGTTTCTTGTAGTGGGCCACCAGGTTTGCACATCTCAGGAGGGATTTTGTCCCACTCCTCTTTGCAGATCTTCTCCAAGTCATTAAGGTTTCGAGGCTGACGTTTGGCAACTCGAACCTTCAGCTCCCTCCACAGATTTTCTATAGGATTAAGGTCTGGAGACTGGCTAGGCCACTCCAGGACCTTAATGTGCTTCTTCTTGAGCCACTCCTTTGTTGCCTTGGCCATGTGTTTTAGGTCATTGTCATGCTGGAATACCCATCCACGACCCATTTTAATGCCCTGGCTGAGGGAAGGAGGTTCTAACCCAAGATTTGACGGTACATGGCCCCATCCATCGTCCCTTTGATGCGGGGAATTTGCCTTGGTCCCCTAAGCAGAAAAACACCCCCAAAGCATAATGTTTCCAACTCCATGTTTGACGGTGGGGATGGTGTTCTTGGGGTCATAGGCAGCATTCCTCCTCCTCCAAACACGGTGAGTTGAGTTGATGCCAAAGAGCTCCATTTTGGTCTCATCTAACCACAACACTTTCACCCAGTTGTCCTCTGAATCATTCAGATGTTCATTGGCAAACTTCAGACGGGCATGTATATGTGCTTTCTTGAGCAGGGGGACCTTGCGGGCGCTGCAGGATTTCAGTCCTTCACGGCGTAGTGTGTTACCAATTGTTTTCTTGGTGACTATGGTCCCAGCTGCCTTGAGATCATTGACAAGATCCTCCCGTGTAGTTCTGGGCTGATTCCTCACCGTTCTCATGATCATTGCAACTCCACGAGGTGAGATCTTGCATGGAGCCCCAGGCCGAAGAAGATTGACAGTCCTTTTGTGTTTCTTCCATTTGCGAATAATCGCACCAACTGTTGTCACCTTCTCACCAAGCTGCTTGGCAATGCACTTGTAGCCCATTCCAGCCTTGTGTAGGTCTACAATCTTGTCCCTGACATCCTTGGAGAGCTCTTTGTTCTTGGCCATCGTGGAGAGTTTGGAATCTGATTGATTGATTGCTTCTGTGGACAGGTGTCTTTTATACAGGAAACAAGCTGAGATTAGGAGCACTCCGCTTAAGAGTGTGCTCCTAATCTCAGCTCGTTACCTGTATAAAAGACACCTGGGAGCCAGACATCTTTCTGATTGAGAGGTGGTCAAATGCTTATTTCCCTCATTAAAATGCGAATCAATTTATAACATTTTTGACATGCGTTTTTCTGGATTTTGTTGTTGTTATTCTGTCTCTCACTTTTCAAATAAACCTACCATTAAAATTATAGACTGATCATTTCTTTGTCAGTGGGCAAATGTACAAAATCAGCAGGGGATCAAATACTTTTTTCCCTCACTGTATATAGGACCACACAGCTTGGGCAATTGTTACCGGCTCATCGTCTATCTTCCCGCTGGTCTGTGATTACTCGGCAATTATGAGATGCAATTTGCATGAACGCCACTTTTACATTCTTGTTTGTAAAAAATCGATTATTTACAATGTATGCAAATTATTTGTAATATTACATACATAGGTTTGTGAATCGATTATTGATTGTCGTTTATGCATCTATGGGACCTCTTTTGCCAGTATCAAAAAAATTATGAAAAATAAGAATAGATTTGACCCTTTCTGGCAAGAAAACAGGTGTTAAGATGTTGTCCTTTTGGCGTTTTATGGTCTAACACTGGTGAGGCAAGGCCATGAAGCAGGCTGTCTCTGGTATAGGCCAATCCGTTTCAAAGACAATGCAAGTATATTATCAGAAAATGTTTGTGTGCATGATTTGCCACAGGTACGTGTGGTTAATGCAGATTTGATGCCTTGAAAAAGGTATCTCTTTGGTGTTTGAATCGTTTGTGCAATCGATTATAGATTCAAAAAGTCACGGAATCAATAATCGAATCGAGTTCACATGCTGTAATGGTTGAACTGATAGGCGCCCGAGAATGTTGAAACTGCACGGTGCATTCCCATGCTATTGGTCACGTGACAACCCATGACGTCCAATAATAAATAAATAAATCGGGCCCACTGGTAGATCACGGCCTCCCCACGCACCGTATTGGTCATGGGATTTTGCTGGGGTATACTTCTCTGTGCTGGCCCAGTACGAGTCGGTGAAGACGTGAGGCCCAGGACCGTTTTGAATATCAGTCGCCGCTGACGAAAACCACAGCCCGCTAATCGCCATGCCACATTTCTACCCAGCCACCACTGTCTACGCAGTTTTTCAGTTTGTTTACAGAGTTGTCACAGTCCCTGTCGTAAATGTTTCGCAGAGTCATCGATCAATAGCGAGCACAAGGAAGTGTACGGCGTGGTGAAGTCTGCCGACCACAGGGGTCGGACCTGCTGCATTGCATGGTACACCTTGGATGAGGACGGCTTTGGCCTGAAGGTGAGAGCCCTGCGTTGACGTGTATGGTACCAGCATGCCCTCCCACTTTTTGCCGGAGAACTGTGCACGTGTTGCCGGCTGTACGTTCAACACATTTGTGAAAAGTTGTCTTGGACGTAAGGTGATTGTACCGACCTGGGAACAGATGCTGTTCACGTCCAAGTGTGTTTCTTCGCCATTACTATCATCGTTATCGTCGTAATGTTAAATCTGCTACCGGACGAATAAATGAAGCGAATAGATATTTATTTACAATCGTGCCCCACCAATTCCATTTTGTTTGTCAGAGGATGCAATGTACAAGTGGATCCGATCTAAACTCGTTGGGTCTCACTGCAAAACGAGTTGTGGCGTACGTGTGAGGCATCGTGCTTTAGTGGCAGAAATACTATAAACCTTACCCATATGGAGTTTTCAGAGTCGATAAGGCAAGAAAGATTGTAAATGTCATGGGTTACTAGTTCAGCACACCGGTGTGTTGGAGAGTAAACCCAATTGTAAATGTTGTGGATTTACTCTCCAACACACCGGTGTGCTGAACTAGTAACGAATTAGCATATTCTGTTTACGTGACAAACCTCACTAATTGCCTGTGTGTGTCGGGTCGTGGCGGGTTTAACGACACATTTGTATTTACGCGATCTAACCAAAACAAACCCCTCTTTGGACAGTAATTGGTTGCCGTTGAAACAGTCTCTCTTTCAATCTGTTCACAGGCCCCGCGACTGCTTCATCAAGAAGACGATGTCAGCGTTTACGATATCTCTGACCACACGGACTTTCAGTTCCAGATCTCCGACACCGTTATCCGTTTGAGCAAAACCGAGATGATAATCCCAACCACCGAGGAGGTAATTGTGTAGCCACATGTGCATATATATGTATGTGTGTTGTATATTAAACACGGATGCTGTTTTCAAATAGGTTTTTCTTCGTACAAGTGTTACTTAAAGTGACTGAGATGGCTTGTGATTTAATAAAGCAATAAAGTATTGGAAAGATAAATGCCTTTGTTACTACAGAGGAACGTATTTAAACTGTGATGAAGTGGGAGACCAAACCTACAAATAAGCAAAAATTGTGGGCTAATGTTTTAAAATATTAGGAAGTGGAGTCCACTTCCCACCATTTCCAAAAATTACTCCTGTGATCCATGAGAAAGGTCCTGAATAAAAACAGACTTATATAAATTCGGCTTGCGGTCCACTCCCGTGCCTTTTGTCTGTCATAATCACGGATAACAGGAAGACTGGACACCGATACAGTAACTTGCTGACCTTCTCCTACTGGACATGTGTGGGAAAAAAGAGCTTCATTGCTCATCAGATTCCTCCAGGATAAATTAAACATTCCGATTCTGACACGCTCAACGTTTCAACCATAACTTGTTTTCTTTTACATTTGCTGGCACTTGTATCAACAGCCTTGGTTAAGCTGGCTCAGGGGGAGTTGCAAGGAACTGCCTTTATTCGTAATTTTACGGTCGTTTGTCAAGCCTCCGCTGGAATGGAGGCCTCCCCATGCCGTGCGGGTCGTCGGGGTTAGTTATCTGACCTGCTTCACCATGCTGGTCCTTGTGGGTTGGTGAGGTGGGCCGGAGCTGCTTCAGATGTCACTCGTCGCCCATGTTGCCTGCGGCCATGAATTAATTTTAAGTGACCAGGTTCATAGCGCGGTGCCCTAACCTCATTGCACCGTCGGTCCGTGGTGTATATATATAATGGGGAACTGTAGACCTGGTAAAAATCTTTAAAAATGTATTGATGACGATGGCAGGATGCGCATGTCTGCTGTCGTCCAATTAAGATGTTTAATGTTATATTTTTAATTGTTAATGGGCAGAGGAGCGTAATTCCGTATGTGTTCTTTGTTAACCTCTTTCAGCCATGCATTGGACAAGTTGTGAACATGGACGAGTCTGGGAAAGTGAAGGTGCGGTGGATTAACAACAGTATCTCCAGCTTGTATCCACAGGTGAGGTACCTGCAGCAGTCTCCCTCAATGCCAATTATTAATTTGCTACTAAATTCATGAAGCTCGTACGCGTCTTAACGTTGCATTTGTTCACTTTATTGGTCCACTTAAAATGACACCTCTTGAATTAATACATCTGTGGCCAAATGTAACTATTAAGCGTGAATAAAAAAATAACGAACCACATTTTTTATATCACTTTAAAGGAATGGTATGTTCCTAAATACGTGTAGCCATTTATGGTAGTGCAGCAGTTTCTGTGAATACAACACGTGGCTTTCTGCGTTCAAGAAAGTGTAAATCGTACAATGAACATAATCTATGAGGAACTAAACTTTCATCTAAAGTTCTGTTGCTTTTAGGGACTTAACTTATCATACACTGGTGAAATTGATCAAAGGGGTTGTCCAAAACTTTTGAGATAGAGCCAGAGCAAAAAAACAACCATTGACGAATACACAAACGCATTCCGCAACCGGCATTTTATTTATTTGGCTTTTTATTTATTGACTTATTTTGCGCCCCCACACTATCAGGAGCTCTTTAAGGTAAGCTCGGATTTCGAGGACTCCGACCTCGACTCGGTGGAGGAGGAGTGCGAGGAGGACTGGAGTGACGACTACGACAGCTGGGAGACGGACGACGATGGCACCGAGATGGAAAACCAAGCGCCGGCTTCCGCCGTCGAGGACGAGGCCGGCGACGGCCCCGCCGACGCGTCGCCCCCTTCTCCCGCTGCCGACAAGCGCCCCAAGCCCCAGCAGCACCTCTCCGAGGCGGAGGCCGACGGCTCGAAGGGCGCGTCCGGCGGTCGTGCGGGAGCCAAGAACCCCGAAGCGAGCGCCAGGGAACCAGCCGGAGCCGAATCTGGAGCCACGGCGTCCGCGTTGAATAGGGCCAGCAGGGATTTGCCGGAAATTAAAGGCGAGGCTTTGCCTGTTCCATCTAATAAGAATGAGAGATTTGTATTCGTACGGCACTCGGAGCGTCCTTGCCATCATAGCGTCTCCTCTCCACCAATTCCAGTGCCCTGCTGTAGTCTAGCCAAGGGGACGTCTGCGGTGGTAGCTGTCGCTGTGTGGCGCAGGGTGATCGCAGCAGCATCCTGCAAGTGGGCATTAGTCTGCCGGTAGGAGGACAAAATTGCTGTGTTTTGTAATTTTTTCACGCGTACGTCATCAGAACTGGAACAGGGTTAACATCTCGCCACCGCGGGCGCCCAGCTTAACTTGCGCCCAATGTTACCGTGTGCAGAGGCGACGGTGCGCCTGCTGGAGAGCCTCAAGAACATGACGGTGGAGCAGGTGCTCGTGGGCTCGCCCACCACCGCGGCACAGCCCTGCCCCGAGAGGCCGAGCCGCGACCACAAGTTCCTCAACGACATCAAGAAGCTGCAGGAGCTGCTCAGGAAGACCATGGACAGCATGATGTACGCAGAGGACGACGATGAGGAGACGGAGAAGCCTTCCAATGAGGCGCGATTGCATTTTCTACGACACTACATACACTACACCATGCTATACACGGCACACTACATTATACACTACAATACACTGTTATATACTAAAATACACCACTCTACTAAATTGAAAAGTAATCTCTTTAGAACTTATTTTTGTGTTTATTTTGTATGTCCTTCCCCCGCTCATCCGATTAGCACGGTTGGCTACGCACGGTGCGAAGCAACTTCAACATACATACGCACGTACTTGCAGACGTTAATAAACTGTCTGTTGCAATCTGTGACGTAGCTTTTGTGAGTTTCGTCAAATTGCAGTGATTTACATTCGCTTGCGGGGACGCGAGGCAAAAATTCAGTGTAGGTTAATTATAATTATAAATATTTCACACATTTGTGAAACACAGATGCACATCACCTGCCGAAAGTAAGGAAAGACACTGAATAGAGCAAAAAAACAAAACGCGTGATGGCTTACCACAGCAAATGGGGGTAAAGATGTCCCAAGCATTAAAATTGGCTACGCTTAAAGCAGTGCTTAAATTGTACTTGTTTACGCGAGTAGCTCACCATCATTTTAAATAAAAAGAGTTCAAATAAATAATTAACGTGCAATACCCTTGTCAGTCCACTCCTGCATGAAGGCCTCTCTTACACCATATCGGTCATGAGAGTCGTTTGGCCCTACTTCACAACGCTAGTCAGTGCAGGTTGGTGAAGAATTGGGTCCAGGACCGGTTAGACATTACTCGCAACTTATGTTAGCCGTGGCCGCCAATCAAGCTCAGGTTGCCTGGTTTACTAAAAAACAATAAACTATATATCTCTTTTGATTTAAAGCTTTCGTGACTGCAGTAATTCATATTCTTAGTTTTTTCGGTAAAGTCACGTTGAAGAGAAACAACAAAATATATATAAAACAATAAAAAATTCTCACGACGTTTCGACCATAACTCAAACGGTCATCATCAGGTGTGTTGGTTTGCATAAATGTATTTTAAAACGGCACATTTATTTATTTATATATTTTGTTATTTTGTTGTTTCTCTTCAACGTGGCTTTACCGAAAAAACTAAGAATATATATCTCTTTTTTTATATGCGACCTGGCCACAAATGATAGCTCAATGAAGTGGCTTATCACGTGGAAATGTATTGCAGCCAAATAATCTAAACGCGTGTTTCTAAATGTGGAGGGAAAAACCGGAGGACCCGGAGAAAAATCCACGCGACCACGGGGAGAGAGAGACACACACCAACTCCAAATGTACAGCAGGCGACAGGGTCGGGATCGAACCCACCACCTGTATACCAGGCGAGGGAGTTAACGTCTCCTAGCCACCGTAGCAGCGTAAACCACTGGGCCCTCATTTACATTCATCATCATCACCAACATCACGTTGGTCAACAATGCAGGCTGGTGAGGTTTCTGACAGTCGTGTAAAACTAAAGCTACCCGTCCGCGTCTTCTTGAACGGGACCCTCTAAACACCGACCGCGTTTGCCTTGCAGAAGGAGGAAGCAGCGGTGTTCAATCCCAGCAAAACGGCCAGTGACGCCCCCGTGCTGTGCGAGCGAAGCGGTGCCAAGCCCGGAGTGATCCTCACCAGTGCACAGGGAGAAGTCTTCTCGGTGCTCGAGACCGCCCCAGGTAAAAGCGGCGGGGCGTCTTTGAAGAGACGCGGAAAGAGAAACATGCGGGATCGGGCGAACGACGTCATTTTCAAATGAACCGCAATGCCTCGCTGATCGTATCGTCAGGGAATGTAAACCGTCACGCGAACTCCGTTCATCATCGCAGCAGCGGCGGCCTTTGGCTGGCCATCGAATAAAGATGGTGGTCACCGCATCGCGGCGCTTTCGGATGCGCTTCTGCGCCGTCTGGAACGCTCTTTCTGCTGATATTGGAAAGCCACTGGAGCTATGTACTTTTAAATAATTTGGATTGAAACTCATTTCTTCAGAATTGCTTTTGGTGTTCAGTTTGTTGTCCTTCCCCCGCACCTCCGGTTAGCGCGGTTGGCCACGTACGGTGCGAAAAACGTTCAACTTACACATGCGTTCTCAGTGGCTTGTCAGTTTTAAGGAAGGCACGCACGCGGGCTTGGGCAGGACGCGTCTACGCATAGGGACGGCGGCCCACGGTCAAGGATAATGGCAGCCTAGGATTGTAAACTCAAAATGCGGGGGACGTCCGCCGGTTAGACGGAGCGATTTAAATCGCCTCTCGAGCGGGTGCCGCGCGGATTGTCGACTTGTGGGATCCTGAGAGATGGGGGCGGCCCCTTGGGGGACGGCGTTCCTCTCCAGCAGGTGGATTGACCGTCGCCGATGATGATAGCAACTGAATGCTTGAAGCGTCTCAAGACAACTGTGTTTAGGGAAGTAATACAAATTATAATTGCCCTCCCTATGTTTGATGGAAACTTGGAGGACAGACGGCGTTTATCATGGATCAGAATTTTGATTTAGACTGGAGGAATCCAATGAGCTATGACGCTCTTTTTTACGGATGTCCAGTCGGCTCACAGATGCCACGTAGGTTTCGCGTCCCAGCATGCAGGAACCAAGGCCACACTTCGAGAAATACCGCCGCGTGTTGTTTAATCCCCCGTTTTATTGCCGTCGCCACGAATGTTTAAATGGGTGCACGTTTTCGCTCTCGCCGTAGACTCGCACATGTTCAAGAAGACCGAATTTCTGCCATCGGATCCCAAAAAGTTCTTCAGTTCCGTCAGAAAGGAGATGGCACTGCTGGCAACGTCGCTGCCAGAGGGCATCGTCGTGAAGACTTTCGAGGACCGCATGGTGCGTCCTCCCATTCCACGTTTTCTCGCTAGTGTATTTGACCGAGGATGTAAGGGGTTAATCCATGAGCTCTTTCTGCCTGTCCATACGTGCATCGGTACCTCCGTCTGTTCATCCTGTCTGCAACGGGGGAGGGGGGGGCGGGCCATCGTAACTTTCATACAGATGACCCATTATGAACAAAACTTTAATAAAGACGCCTTGCTATTGGGGACATAACATATATAATAAATATGTTTCAGAAATTTTCAATACACCAGTGGATGAATGACATCCCCACTGCATGTTAGTCATGGAGAGGTTATTATTATTTTTATATACCATACTTCTACATGCCGGTCAGTGTGGTTTTATGAAGGGGAGGGGGCTGGACCGGTTCTGACATGACTTGCCATGGATGGTCGCTGTCGCCGTGACGCGAACTCGGGTCTCAGAGTTCACAGTGCAGACGCTAACCACGCTACCACCATTCAATTTGACCGGTTTAAATTTGATACATCGTGCACTTCACTCAATGCTTTTTGGTCACGGGAATGTGGTGGTACCCCTACGATTCGATTAATAGTGCTAATTATAAAGTGGGGGGGGGGGGGGAGGAAGGGGAGGTGGAGGAGAAGGGGAGATGGTGGGTGAGAAGGAGAGGCTGGGAAGAAGGGGAGGCGGGGGGGGAAATCGGGGAGAGGAGAAGAAGGGGAGGCAGGGGGGAGGCGGGGGGGTAGAAGAAGAGGAGGCGGGGGAGAAGGGAAGCCGGGGGGGAATTAATTTTAGCTAATAATCTCATGCCCGGCCGTTGACACGTTTTGTATGTTGTTTCACAGGACCTGTTCTCGGCGCTGATTCACGGCCCAGCGAGGACTCCGTACGAGGACGGCCTTTTTGTCTTCGACATCCAGCTCCCCGCCATTTACCCGGCCTGCCCCCCTTCCTTCCACTATCTCTCCCAGTGCAGCGGCCGCCTCAACCCCAACCTCTACGAGAATGGGAAGGTGTGCGTCAGCCTGCTGGGCACCTGGGTCGGAAAGGTATAACGCTGCACGTGTGCATGGGCTCCAGCTGAAAGGCTTTGTGGAGTTTGTTTGCATCCACAGCGGTTCGGCTCGGATTACGGTTCGAGCCCGCGATTCCGGCACGGCGGCCGCCCTGGTTAGTAACTGTGGAGGGGTGCGTTTAACCAAAAATGCACGCCGTCCGTTTCACGTTGGACGTCAAAGATGCCCCGCGATGTTATTTAGTAGCATCGCCTGCTTGCTGGTAGAACCCGTCTCTCCACCGCGCTTAATGCAGGCCATCGCTGCATTTCAACTTCTGCTGAGTGGAGGCAGCTGTCACCCGTGTCCCATGGGCGAGACTGCCGTTGGCCATTGGAATGGTTGAGATGAGATGTGATGATGCAAGGCGCTTTTGAGTAATGGCCCTGTGCATGCAAAATCCCTCCAATCCACCATCTACAAGTGGTCGTGGAAGCCCTCACCAGAGAATATTTCAACGACTTCATCCACGTGGAATTTTATTTCTTGAGTGTCCTTAACATTAGTTACTTTGTGGTTTGAAAAGGTGTTTTTTTGTATTTTATATTTGTGGGTTTTCTTCAAGTGTATGCCTTTAAGAGTGTTTAAAGTAAAGCCTCTTGTTAGATTAACACGTAGGCTGTCGTGACCAGTATCATTTTTTACGTGTTAATTTACACGTTAAATTACGCGGTCTAACCCAAAAAATCTCTAACCCAAAAAAACGCTTATTGTTTGTTGTTGTTTGCACGATATTTCAGGGAACAGAGAAGTGGACTAACAAATCAAGTCTTCTTCAAGTGCTGATTTCTATCCAAGGTAGGACCCCCCCACCCCACTTCGTGGGATTGTGAACTCAGCCGTACCGTTGTTGTTGCAAGAAGGAATAAAATGTCCATTTGTAGATCACATGCTGTTGTCATTTAAAGTTTATAGCTACGGCCTTGTTGCACTTGTAAATATTTATAAAAAAAATTATATAATTTTTAAAAAGACCACGTTTGAAAAGCGTTTATACTTTATGTTACTCGTATACAGGGTAATCCATTAAAGTATCGCCCATTATAAAATGTCCGCCGCTGGCGTTGGCAAGACGCGCCTGGCATGGAGATCCGTGACCGTTTTGAATCTCCGCGTGTATCATGTTCATAGTCCACTTCGTGGGGGTCCTGCACTTGTTGTACAAGACGAAGGGGGATATATCCAGTGAGGTGATTTAGTGAACCGTGCTATGAAGAATACCCAGTCTTGGAATAATTTGTACGGTGCCCTTCACACCTAAACGTCAAAGTGCCCTCGCTTTAACTCTCCGCGTTCGTCTCAGGGCTCATCTTGGTGAACGAGCCGTACTACAACGAGGCGGGCTTCGAGAGTGACCGAGGCCTGCAGGAAGGCTATGAGAACAGCCGCTGCTACAACGAGATGGCTCTCATCAAGCTCGTGCAGTCCATGACGCTGCTGCTCAACCACCCGCCCGCCGTGTTCCAGCACGAGATCCGCGAGCACTTCCAGGCGCGCGGCTGGCGCATGCTGCACCGCCTGCAGGCCTGGCTGGACCTGCACCAGCTTCTGCAGCAGCAGCAGCAGGAGAGCCTCGCGGCGTCACCGCCGTCCACCGAGGCCTGCGCGGCGCCGCCCACGCTGGGGCAGGGAGCGTCCTCGCACGGCGGCTCTCGAAGCGACAACTTCCAAGCCACCAACGCCCAAGTTGCGGAGGACGACTGCGCCATGGAGTGCGGCGACTCGGCCGGCGAAGGGGCCGCCGCCGTCGGCGGCGCCGTCGGCGGCGGCGGCGGCGATGCCGACGACGGCGCCGCCGGAGCGGTCTTCGGCGGCGAGCCGACGGGGGAGAGGGCGCGCGCCGAGGGCAAGGCGCTCGACAAGTCGGGCGAAGAGGCGGAGAGCGCCGTGAAACCGAAGAAGCGCAAGAAGAGCTACCGCACCTTCCTGCAGGGGAAGAGCGGCTACCCCGACGTGGGCTTCCCTCTCTTTCCCCTTTCCAAGGGTTTTAGCAAAAGCCTCAAGACTTGCCTCCAGCAATATCAGTCGATTCTGATGTCCTTGGGCATTCCCGACAACATCGTGGGCAGGCCAGAGAGCAGCGCGGCACGCACAGACGCGCAAAGGGAGACGGAGCCGGCACCAGAACATAACCAACACGACAGCTGCAGGCATTAACCGTGTCCCCCAGGCAGCTTTATCGGTCCGCTTTCAGATTTACCAGGAACGCAAGACACAAACTAAAATATCAATGCATGTTTTCAAAGGTCGCTAAAGGACGGTGCATCGTTAAAAAACAAAAAAAGCCGAACGTGGTTTGTGGGATACCTCAAGCAGAGCTCTCGTTATTAAATTCCCAGTTCGATCGCCAATGTTTGTACGTGCGCACATGTACAAATTCTCAGTAATATTTTTACTGTTGAGGAAAAGAAACGGGAATGTGTTGATAAACCGCATTAAAAATTAAACGTGAAAAACATGGTAAACCGCTTGTGACGCCTGTTATCTGATTATATATATTTTTTATTGCCACAAGCATGTGTGAAATACGTATTGAAATGTGTTGCCGATTGTCATATGGAGCGCACAAAGCTTTGCGTGCTTCGACGGCACAATTGAGCCAACGGCTGTGACCAGGGTTCATCCTCACAATCGGGATGGGGCGGTGGGCGTGTGGCTCACGAGTTTTGAGCGCTGAGCCAGCACCGCTGAGAACCTGGTATCAAACTAGGTTCTCAGGCGTATCGAGCTGCGATGGTATCTGCCCTTGTCACAAGCGCTTTATTTTGGCGAAATTCTCGCCCTTGGAATGACAAGTGTCACTCTGAAGATCACGCAAAACAAATATTCTCATTGCAGGGAGCGTGAGAGAGTGGTGACCCTTCCCCGTAGAAAGAATGGAAACGCGACATAATTTTTCTGGAGCAACGAAAAATCTCTTCCGTTGTCAATCCTGTGACAGGGCCAAGCGCCGCATTGCAATGTTTGCGATTTCATTCATCTCGACACAAAGATGCCGAGAGCACACATTGGGAATACATTTTGGGGGTGGGTGGGGGGAGAGTAACAAAAAATCGGAGCCTCGAGTCACTTTTCTGGAGTCGCGAGGTCCCGAGTATAATGACTGGTGTCACCCAAGCTGCTGATACATTTTCTGTTGTACTTGCGTCACAGTCATCGATCCAACCGTGACATTTACACGATCCCAATTTAGCGTGTCAAAAATCACGGCGGTGGCGGCGCCGTCGTATGCCTGACATTCAGCACCGGAGGCGAGGGTTTGGTGGATCGAACAAATGTTGTGATACTCCCTGGCCCGTGGTTGTCCGAAGTGCCCCCCCGTACCCTGGCCCTCCACCTGTTCCATCTGCACGGGATTATTGGCCCCATTGCACGCGTGGCTTTTTCGCTGGGTGCTCCAGTTTCTTCCCAACTGTAAATAATCATCAACTGGCCAATAACACCTTAAAATAAATCTAGCTATAGGATCGCAGAGCTTGTGGAATTGCGCTCGCCTGCGCTTCCTCGCTCCTCCCGAATTGTTCTCGCGTCGGAAGCGAGCGAATGCCGCGCGGAGCGTTACACGTTGGAAGTTATTACAATAAAGAGACGTAAAAAATATATATGCATTTCTTTTTAAGGTTTACAAGTCGATAACTTTGGGACAAAAAAAAAACACATCTCCGTAATGATTTTGTAATCGCTCCCATGTCGCTGTCGTTTCAGGTTGCAGTGCGGTGTCCGTTCATTAACGGTGATGCGCCGTGCGCACGCCTCGCGTGTTTATTCTCCACATGCGCACTGTTACTCGTCACCCCCCCCCCCCCCCCCCTAGAAGCGAGCGCACCGTTCAGTGACGATCCATTCGTTGCTCCTCCGCACCGCGGAGTCGATGGGTGTCCCTTGACTGAGTGCGTGTGGAATGATGAGGGGGGGGGGGGCGGCGGCGGCGTGCCCTGTGTTGGGGCTAGCACCGAGTAAGGGTCAAGGTTCATATTCACGCCCTGACGAAAGGGGGCTAAATATCGCGGTCGGCCTTTGCGATCAGGAGAACTTCTGGGGGCGAATTCACCGCGGTGCCTTTTAACCAAACCTCGGACCGAGCGCGATATTCGCCAACTCGGCAGAGGTGAGCCGCGTGGTGGGCCCTTGGGATGCGAGTTTAGACCGCGTGTGGATTGTGATGTGCGAGGGGTTGCCACCTTAGGGGGCACAGCTGCTGTGCATCTGCCAATCATCTCAGCCAACCCATGGCACCACCTTGGTCTGTCCCGTGATCTCTCGGTGAGCCTTCGACACTCCACGTGACCTCAATGTTCACCTGGCCTGGCACAAGCTACGTGGTGACATCACCGCCACTTAGCGAATGGCGACTGTTGTTGCTGTTTTGAGATGACTCGATATAAAACTAATGGTTAGGAAAATGGCATGCATTCTTTGGGAGAATGAATGAAGAACACCGCTCGGGGCAGCTGATGAATTCACACAGCAAGCAAACAACGCCCCCTTGGGGTGCACAGAAGGTTGTACAAGCTTGGGGAACTAAAAGTGCGGCATTCCCAACGAAAATGTTACATTTGAAAGTTTGTTCGCTAGAGGAATGCAATATTGGATTGAAATCGCAGTATTTTAGAAGTGCCACGGCACTTTATTCGATAGCTTAATAGGCGTTCCATATGCATAAGTAATCCATTATAAATAATGTTATACAGAATGGGACCTTTTTTGGCAGTATCAAAAGTATGAAAAAATAAGAATAGGTTTTACCCTTTCTGCCAATGAAAAGGAGTTGTGTTAAGATGTTCAAACACCACCAAGTAGAAACCCGTTTGCAAGGAATCGAGTTACTGCATTCACCACACGTGTGCAGTACTTGTGGTGAACATGCAAACAAACACGTGGCTCTGATCATATTTGGCACTCTCGTTGAAACTGATGGACCTACACCTCGTGTTACCAGTGTCAGAGCTTGTTCGTGTGCATGGTCACCACAAGCACTGCACGTGTGGTGAATGCAGTCCTCGATTTCTTGCAAAAGGTTTCTTTGTGGTGTTTGAACATCTTAACACAACTCCTGATTCATTGCCAGAAATGGTAAAACCTATTTTTTATGTTATATACAGTATCGTTTATTTCCCAACTTGGATTATACAATGGTTACCCATAAATGCCTCCTTTATTTCCCAGTCACTTTTGATACGAACTGCTACAAAATGTAACATTCATCCTTGAGAATGGCACAAACGTTTGGCTGGTTTTATTTACTAGTCTCCACTTTTTTATTATTGTTTTACACAATTGCATCAGCGTATGGGACCAGAATTCCGTGACAATGAAAGGATTTCGTCTATCGTCACGTAACCATTCACAACATCCGTGACCTCCGTGTAGTTTTGTTTTAATGTTGCCGAACTAATATTCCTGTTGCCGAACGAATAACTTTGAGGTCGCGCTCATTACACACAAGGTGCTTGCCACAAATGAGCCACAATACATTGCTGATCTCATCGAATAGCATGAACCATCGCGTGAACTCCGGTCGTCATCCTCGCAGCAGCAGCAACAGTAGCAGCTATTGGGTAGCCATCAAACAAAGACGGTCACCGCATCGCGTGCTTTCAAATGCGTATCTGCGGCCGTCTGGAACGCTCTTCCGATATTAGGAAACCGCTAGAGCTATGCACTTTTAAATCTAGATTGAACACTAATTTCTTTAGAACTGATTTCGTGTTTGGTTTGTTGTCCTTCCCTCACACCTCCGATTAGCACGGTTGGCTACGTATGGTGCGAAAGAAGTCCGAGAAATATAATTGGCGTGTGAAATTTCATTCGGTCCAGGGACTCCACCCTTAACTAAATCACACTGGTCACAGTGGTGAAATTTGATCAACACCACCCCATAACCATGACGAACGCACACGGTGGAAGATGCCTTTCATCCAGAAGCGGATTGATTGACAAAGGGCTGTAAATCGTTATGATACAGATGCGAAAGAAGTCCAGCATACATACGTACTACATGGGCAACTGCTTGCTATGTGAAGGACGTCTTAAGTTTTATACAGTGGATGTGGCAGCGGTGTCTACCAAAACAATGCAATGGGCAGAGGAGAAATGGCCTTTAATGTGGTTTGGCATTATCATTTTTGGAGCGGGGCTGTAATCCATCTCGCATGTTAATCAGATGGCTTTCACGTGAATGGCGAAACGTTTGCATCAGTTCACGCAAAAAAAAGCATTGGATGAAAAGAGAGGGCATTGCTGTTGCCGTATTTTGCAAGCCACTGACCCATCGTGGAGACAGTTTTACGATGGCAGTCCGAAAAACGATGTTGCATTCTCCGTGAACTTCAAACCACTAAATTGAAACCACATGGTTCGTTGACTTTTCAACGTATTGTTAAAATATGGCGCCTATTCCGGTTTGCTTATTTACGTATTAATAAGCTCATATTATTGACCAACCCCTAGCACAGAAGACGGTGTGAGAAAAACACCAGAGAAGGTGATTTCCAGGCAGCTCACGGCATAATTGTGACCATAAGCTCGCTCCTCCCGTCGTGCTTTACACGCACACGTGACATCACCACACTGCTTGGATGACGATGATGATGCACACAGCACTGCATTCGACCAACTCCAACGATTCCAAAACGAAGACCCGACTCGTGCTGTACCCTGCGCTGCTCTGCCAGCGTCGTGGTGGTGGTGGTGTCAACTGGAGGAAGAACACCCCCACCACCACCACCATTCTCAAGGGATACAAGTTGCCATCCCGGTCAGGGTTTGAGTAGGAATACTCGGTCCTACATTCCGGTCACCGCAACGCGCGCTTTCAGATGCGCTTCTGCGGCCATCTGGAACGCTCTTCGTTCCGATATTGGGAAGCAACTGAAGCTGTGCCATTTTAAATTGTTGAGATTGAAAACTCATTTATTAAGAACTGTTTTTTAGTGTTTAGTTGTCCGCATCTCCGATTAGCACGGTCTGCGACGTCAGGGCTATATTATCCAATAAATAAGCACCAGTAAGCACCGTGCCTGGGGCCTATGAAAATAACATCTGAGCATGTTTTTGTATGATAAAAATGTTTATCAAGATATATTCTTGAATACATAGATTTATATAGCAAGGGTAAGCACAGTGTATGTACAAAGAGGCATAGTCGTGTCAGTCGTTTTTATTTATTTATAAGGTGAAAGGTAAATTAACACCGGAGGTGAACTTTTCCAGATTTTTTTTTTCGTTGCGAAATTATCAACATCTTCAAATGGTGTTATTCGCACACTCCCATTCTCAATAGAGAGCGGTGCATAAAAACGAGTCACACTTTGTGGAAGGTCACTGGTGGTTCGTACTTTGCGTCCACTCAGTCTCGCCGTGCAAATGGAATTCCCGCAACTTGGCTTGGGGCTTCGAGCATGAGGATGAACTTCACGCGGGCTTATTTTGAGCGGAGACTTTGAGTCTCATACTCTTTGGGTTTTTTCGGTAAAGTCACGTAGGTAAAATAAAATAAATGAAAACAACTAAATTAAATCACGACGTTTCGGAGGCAACACAAGCTTCCGTCTTCAGGTGAAACAGTCACAGCAAAATAGCTGTATCTGTGACTGTTCCACCTGAAGACGGAAGCTTGTGTCGCCTCCGAAACGTCGTGATTTAATTTAGTTTTCATTTATTTTATTTTACCTACGTGACTTTACCGAAAAAACACCAAAGAATATGAATCCTTGCAGTCACGAAAGCTTCAAATCTAGAATTAAAACTTTGAGTCTCGTTTTTGTGTTTGCCGGCGCCAATGGAACCCCTCAACCTGAACCGCGCTCGCACGCAGCACGGGAGGTGAGCGGCGTCGTTCCTCCATCGGTGGGGGGAAGAAAAACAATCAACGGATCGCCAAACTGCGACTGTGGTAAAGCCTTGACTTAAAGCTTTCGTGACTGCAGGAATTCGTATTCTTGGGTCTTTCGCCCATTTCAAACCCTTATAAACAGTTCCCCTTGGAAGCTAACCCTCCTTTTTCTGAAGACGACCGCTTGCGTTGCGATCGGAACGTCGTAGTTTTCTGTTATTTTTTTTATTGTTTTCTATTAACCTATCTACGTGACTTTACCGAAAGACCCAAGGATACGTGGTAAAGCCCAAACCATCAAACGCATCACCGACGAGTGGCGCCATCATCCAAACAATCCGCACAGCGTCTCCTGCCGCCTTGCATTGGTTGAAGGACCTTCACGTTCAAGTGTGACATCATCTGTACAAACTGTTGCTTAGAGGCCATACGAAAGAGAAATTATCTTTTTCTCTCTCTCCAACTTACCGTGCGTTCCATTTGTGCTCGAGTTATCTTGTCGCGTGATGATTATCTGACTATTGGGATATTCCGCAGAGATCAAAATGCAGCTTCACTCCGTTTTTAGAGAGCGGGCCTCTGGAAGTGGACAACCCTGAACTAGTTCCGAGGCCCCTGTCATTGCCTCTCGTCGGCACTAGGGGGCAGTGCGCCTTATATAATAAACGTTTTATTTTATTTGACCAGGTAAGGCCTACAGAGCTATGCGGTATAGCTCTTTTTTTCAGAAGCGAATTTGCCACGGAAATTTAAAGCAGCCATGTGC